CTAAATTTTGATCCATAAATTCTAGTATGATATTTTAAACCATTTTATTATCTTCACTTCTGCTGTAGAAAACATCCTTACTATTTCATTAAATTTACTATCAATTTAACAACATTAGGACAAGATTACAATTACCTTAATATATCACATTCTCTGCTTGATATTTTACCAACTTTTTGCATTCTTTTTAGAGCTACTTTTTAGCTTCTTTTTGTATCAAATGCTTCGAAAACATATCCTTTGAATTAAATAAAATTAACTACCGAAAGCTCCTGAACCAATAACCCTTGTAATTTCATAATTAGGTATGCTACCTTGTGTTTCCATTTTAGTTATTTGTTATTTTACTCACTTAAAATAAAAATTAAGAATTTAGTATCAATTTTATAAATTATCACTTTAAATTTAATGAATATGTTCTTTATATTCTAGTTTTAATTAAAAAAAGAAATATTGTATCTAATTACCATCTTTATTTAAAATGATCTTACAATCTCAAATAAATGGTATTTTTTAAATATTGAATTTGTAACAGAAGAACAGAATTAAATTTTATTCAACTTTTTAAAATCAAATGCATTTCTTCTTCTGCCCTATTTGAATATTTGTAAAAGGTACTTCAATAAAATCTTTAAGTTCTATGAATTCAACTAATAGATAAAGAAATATGAAAATCAAAGATGTTAATATAAACAAGCAATAAATTTCAAATCATATATAAATTCTTCCCTTAGTATCTAATTATAATATAAATAAAAATAAATAAAATGTCTAGATAGGCTCCATCCTCTGCTTAAAAAGTTGATCCCAAGAAGGCTCCTCCTCCTCCCCCTCCATCTAAAAAAGGACCTAAAGTTTTTAATGCTGAAGATTATGCCAAACCACCTCATCTAACAAAGGAGGAAGTTTTGGAAGTAAAATAAGCATTTGACATTTTTGATAATGATGGATCTGGATCAATCGATCCATAAGAATTAAGAGAGGCCTTTGAAGCTTCAGGAATCAAAACCTACCACAATAAATTTATTTATTAAGTATTGGGAGAATTAGATACTGATAATAGTGGAGGAATTGATTTTGAAGAATTTTTGCATTTAGCTACAGCAAAGGTTAGTGATAAAGATACTAGAGAACAAATCCAAAAAGTCTTTAATCTTTATGATTGGAATAAGGAAGGTAAAAGTAATTAATATTGTAAGGTCGCATCACCTGGGATGAATTAAAAAGAGTAGCATAAGATTTGGGAGAAGAAATGACAGATGAAGAGATCTAACATATGTTCAAAAAGGCAGATTTGGATGATGATGGTTTTGTTACTTTTGATGATTTTTACAATCTAATGACCCAAAAGGAATACGGAAAATAATGATATCAGATAATGATAAACATATAAATAAAAAGTATATATTACATATTAATTATTTATTTTGAAAACGACTAGTATCTTATACTTCCATTTTTTTTATTTGATATTTAGATTAGTTTTTATCATAAAATGTATATAAGTGAAATATTACATAATCTTGATATTGTAGAGATTATGTTCCACTTTCAAATATTAATTAATATTAATATATATTAATAAACTAAATTTAGTAAATATGTAAGGAAACAATGCAACTGAAAAAAAAGTAATAGAGTTAAAAGAAGTATCACTAAACCAAGATTAAATACAATCAATATTAAAATAATAATAAAAAGAATTTAGATAATATAGCGTTGAAAAAAGAAAATCTCTAATATTACAAAGAATTGATGATATTAAGAGAGACAGAATGCTTAAATCTGATGGAACAGTACATCATTCTGAAGATTTTAGAAAAGCAAACAAAGCACTGGAATATTTCTAACCTGAATTCCCTATACTTAAATTCCCTGTATTAATCTTCTTTATTTTAGGAAGACACTGTGTTAAATACTTATGATAAAACCAAAAGATGGTTGAAAGAATTCGATTTTCCTAATAAAAAATAATATTGGCAAGAGTTTAAGAAGAGAAACTTTAAACATTATCCAGGATAACCTTTTAGTTATGCACCAGGAGTTCCTACTTATTTTGAGGAATTCAAGGCATACCATCATATAGAGCATGAAGAATCTTAAGTTGAAAAATATTAAAGACTCTAATAGTACAATATTTTATATCATCCAGGAAAAAAGTATTATATGTTTAACCAACAAAAGTAGTTGGAGGTGAATTTAGTAGACCAATTTTTGATAGGACTCATGTCCATGTAGAATTAAATCCTATTCATTAAGTGTAATATCTACCTAATCCTGTCAGTGCAGATTCAACTGACTATAGATAATTAAGTAGATAATCAATTAAATCTAAATTGAATGATATACAAAGAGTTAAACCATTTACTTCATGTAGTACAAGAAGTTAAATATTTTAATTAAAATACAAACCTATGAATGCTGAAAGTACATAAGAGACAGCAAAAACTTCTAAAAAACCTATTGATGATGATTTTGATATTTGATAAATATGTATTTATAGAATTATCTCAAATATAGAGACCCTCTGGAATATTTCCTTTTTTCAAATATAAAATCTTTTCTTTAGCTTTTCTGAAATCTTCTTATTTTATTTTCATTCTTCTTTCTCTAAGAGCTAGTAAACCTGCTTCTGTACACATAGCTTTAATATCAGCTCCAGATAATTCATCTTTAGCATTAATAAATTCATCTAAATTTGCATCCTAAATATAATAATTAAAATAAGAAACCTCTCCTAGATTCATTTTACTAGTATGGATTTAAAATATTTTCTTTTTATTTTTTACATCAGGTAATGGAAATTCTATTTTTCTATCAATACGTCCAGGTCTAATCAATGCTGGATCAAGAGATTCAATCTTATTTGTAGCAAGTATAACTTTAACATCTGCTCTTGAATCAAAACCATCTAATTAATTTAATAATTCAAGCATTGTTCTTTAAATTTCTTTTTCACCACCAGAATGTGAATCATATCTTTTAGTACCAACAGCATCAATTTCATCAATGAAAACTATACTAGGAGCATGCTCTTCTGCAACTCTAAATAATTCTCTAACTAATTTAGGACCATCTCCTTGATATTTTTATATCAATTCTGATCCAACAACTCTTAAGAATGTTGCCGAAGTTTCATTGGCAACAGCCTTAGCCAAAAGAGTCTTTCCAGTTCCTGGTTCTCCATATAAAATAACTCCTTTTGGTGGTTTTATTCCCATATCTTCATAGATTTCAGGATGTGTTAATGGAAGTTCTACAGCTTCTTTAATTTCTTAAATCTATTATTCAAGACCACCAATATCAGCATAAGATTCAAGTGGAGCTTTATCAACTTTCATAACATTAAGAAGTGGATCAATTTCATCTTGCATTATACCAACAACTGCATAAGCTATTTTAATAAATCAAGGATTAATTTACATCTTTAATTCAAAAGAACAGAACATCCTGGCTCCAATTAATCTTTATCAACAAAACTCATGATTCCTGAATAACTTTCTGGACCAACAGAAGACGATACAATAGCATGATTTTCATTTACAAATTCTTCTAATGTTCCAACACTTTGAAATTATTAAATATTAATACATCATTGGTGTTCCTCTGAGCTATTCTATTTTTTTTTACTCTTCTGATTCAGCTTAATCTTATTCTTTTAATGGCTTTAATCTTTATTAATTTTCAATAAATTCTTATTCTAAAAGTAAATAGTCTTTAATTCGTTCATTTTTTAGTAATTTTAATCTACATTTAGCAATCGGTGTTGCTATCTCAATATATCTCTTAAATACCTGCTGGTAATTTGGATGCCTATTCAACTCCTTTTCTTAACTTTTTCCTTCCAACTCTTTATGGGGGAGGAGGTGGTTTTTTTTATTAGTCTTTGTTTTAATTGTTATTATTATCTTGATTATTTCCTCTTCCTTAATTTGGATTGAATGGATTAAACCCTGATGAATTTTGATTACCCATTTTTTGTAATTTAATTTAAATTATACACCAGTATTGGAAATTTTTCAAATAAATAGTATTTTAATAACATTTTTCAATAACTAAAAATTTAGAAATTAGATCAAGATATCTTAGGTTTCAAATAATATCATTATATTTATTTGATTGAAATAGTATTTAATATAATAAAAATAGGATTTTCAATTATTATTAAAGTATATATTGATTTTGCTTCTTCTTTATTCTTCATACTTGAAATTTCATTTCTATTTACTATAAAATGAAGTTTGATCCATTAGAATTTGGGATACCATACACAAATTTTTTTTAATCTATAAGTAAATAAAAAAATAATTGTATTAAGTCACAATACTTTTCGTTCTTGACTTAATTAATTAAATGTGTGTTTGAACATTGTTTATTGAATGATATTCAAATCTTTCAACTTTTCTTTTGGACAATTTAGATTTTTTCAAAAAGTTGTTTACTGACTAAATACCTAATATAAATAGCTTTAGAATATCAAAAGATTCATTAATTTAAAGTCTTCATCATTAAATCTAGCTCCAAGGTATAAATGCATTTGGGATTTTCATTAATTTCTTCATCTTCAATTGTTGTAAAATTATATATCTGTCAATTTGATACACCAAATTATTCTTAGAAATTTAACTTTTTAATACTAATTTTTTTCATTATTATGGTTTGCGTTCACAATTTACTATTTTGAAGATTCTTAAAAAGTGATGATACTTTAAGGTATGAGTGGAAATTGAAGTTTATGGTTGGTTACTAATGAAAAACACTTTAATAATTTTTAGTATTTTAAGATATAATTCATCATTTTTAAGTGGCTTTGCTTGAAAAATACTTCCTAATATTAAGAAATATTTAGCTAAATAAGATTTTGATAAAAAGTATCTTATTGTATAATATTTTTAGAAATAAAAATTCATAAATTGTAAATATTGATATTTGTAATAATTTATATACATAATTATTGATAAAATGATTATAAAATTATAAATTATTAATTAAAATAATTAATGGAGTTTATTCAAAGCTTATTATCATTATTTGGAAATATTGCTATTGTTGCATTGATGTTGACAATTGGAATCTTAGGATTGTTGTACTTTCAACAAAACTCTTTAATCTATTTACCAGGTTTGTATATTTTACTAATTTTTCTAGCATTTTAAGGATTACCTCAAAGTCCTAGTTAAAATATGAATGGACTAAGGAATCCTTCAGAGAGAAATTTATAATATGAGGATGTAGAAATAGGAACACTTGATAGATAAAAATTAAAAGGATGGCTAATAAAATAGAATGACAGTCTTAATGTACCTACTGTTATTTTTTTTCATGAGAATGCTGGAAGTATTTTCAAATTTAGTATTCTTTTGAGATATTGGAACTAGATTGCAATTTTTAGAACTATATTTTGCTAATGTCAAATGCAACATATTGATAATCGCATATAGAGGATATTCAGATAGTACAGGTAAGCCATCAGAATAAGGTCTTTAACTGGATGGAGAATCTATAGTTAATTATTTATTTCATAGAAATGATATTGATCCTTCAACAATATTTGTACATGGCAAATCTTTAGGTGGAGCAGTGGCAATTCATGCAATGACTTAAAATATTGCAAAAGGAATTCGAGGTGTTATATTAGAAAATACTTTTACATCTATTGATGATATGGTTGATGTCATATTTCCTAAATTGAAATTTTTTAAGACTTTTCTTCTTAAAAATCGTTGGTTGTCAATTTAAAAAATTGGTTAGATAACATAACCAATACTATTCATTTATTGTAAGTTATAATGATTATTTGATTTTAGCCATGAGAGATGAAATTGTACCAGTCTAACATATGGCTTAATTGCAAAGTGCAGCCTAAAGAGCTAAATTTATTGAAAAGGTATTTCATTTTAAAATATAACAGTATGTCATTGAGGATGGTGATCATAATACTAATTGGTCTAGAGAGCCAGAAAAGTACTTTAATTCAATTTCAAGTTTCATCAATAAAGCAATTACATCATGATTATATAATAAATTAAATGTAACAAAAATATTGTGATGAATGTGAAGAAACTAAAGCCAAGATAAATTGTAATTAATGTGGTCAAATTCTATGTGAGTAATGTGATAAGAAAATACATAATAAAGGAAAAAGGGTTTATCATTCTAGAGAACTAATTGAAACATCAGATTCGATTGAATCAAACAAAATTAAATAAGATGCTCATGTACTTAGACATGAACAACATAAAGAAAGGTTTAAATAAATAAACAACAGCTTACCATCAGTTGATGTTGTTAACTTCAATCTTATTAATATCTAAACAGAAACACCTATGATTTTTTAAAATGAGTATTTTAAACCTTTTATTAAAGTTCTAATTTAGCAAAAATTGAGCTACATTTATTCAAATAAGCAAATAAAGGAGACTTAATGATTCATTTAAATGACTTTTAGAAATTTTTAAAATAGAATGAAATCTATAAAATCAATCAGTAAGAATTAATTAATATTTAGATCAAAAGATATCATACAATAATTAGAGAAATTGAAAATGATAAATGTTACTATAAGAAAATTTGGAGATAGTGATCCAATTTAATTTATTAGTCTTCAGTTAGATCATATTAGTTTATAATCATTATATTGGGTTTTATTAAATATTAGAAAAGATGAGATGACTCCAACTGATAAATTAGTAATGAGTAGAATTAAGGAATGCTATGGTTTAAAATTAAACATTTAAGATTGGAACCATTATTTAGCTGGATTTTATAAGTTGCAAGATTCTAATGGATTAATTTAATTTAATGTAAAAAAATATAAGAAGAACAAATGGATTGATGAAAAATGTATAATAAAAATGACTAAATGTCCTATTGATTTAGTGAATAAATCTGAAAATAATAATGCATCTCTGTCAGCTTCATAATAAATTAATAATGAATCATTACTATTATTTACAATAGAAGACAATATAAATTGGAAAATGATGGATGCATAATAAATGAGTTCCATTTATAAATGCTAATGGAGATCATTTATATAATTTTTAAAAGATTTTTTTGATACTAATCTTACTTTAAATACAAGTCAAAACACTTAATCATTTGGAGATTTAAATTAATCTGATTATTAGTCATAATCTTCTAAATAAAGTGGAACATAATCAGTGCCAACTTAAAAAAACTAAGATAATTCAAAGTGGATAAGAAGTGTTGAGTCAGGATTACAAAATGGATAAAAGAGTTTGGAATAATTTCATAATCAAAGTTATTCCTCTAATGTTACATAAAAGTATTATTAAATCATCTATAAATAGAAAAAGAAGTAAAAAGAGTCAAATAAAGCCTCCAAAATCAATTCAAAAAGCTATACCTGGAGGTAAATATGGATGTGCATAGCTTTTAAAATGTTGTGGTCCACTAGAATTAAGGGTTTGCTCTCTAGGAGTTTTATGTTTAATGATATAGGAAGCCATTAATAGGAATGTACTAATATACTATAAAACATTATTAATTAAACCAAATACTAATATAGCTTTTGATTTCAATGATTTCTTAAATATTTTTGATGATTAATTTTAGGATTAATTCATCCTTTAAAATATATTAGGAAATGAAGAAAGTCAATAATTATCTATTGACAAATAATAATAATAGCATGAAAAATAGAATAAATTAAAGGCTGTACAATAAGCAATTATAGATATTCTAAATGAATATACTAAAGGTGTTAGTTTAGCAAGATTACCAAAGATGATTTAACGTAAAATTTAATTTACTTTTGACTTACATGAATTGGGATTCACTAAATTAAAATGTTTAATTCAAGGTATTGATGGTATTAGTATAATAAATGATGGAACTACTTATGCATCACTTATTTTAGATGAGTATTATGATGAAACAAATGATATTAAATAAGAATAAGAAGATGATCAATAAATGCAATAAGTGAAAATTGATCTTAAATATTTTTAAAAGTAATCCTAGTAATAATAATAAAATTTATCTAATCCATAACTTTAATAATAATAAATATAACAATAATAATAATAATAATAATAATAACAACAAATATAGTTTTTATCCCCTATTCATGTATCTGAATATTAATTGAAAATTGAGGTAAATATTATATTTTATTTAAAGCAAGCCTTAAAGTAAATTCTTAATTAGTATACAAATGGTATTCCTGCATTTTAACTTCTATAAATACTTTAATTGCATATATAAAATACATTTGAATATACACAATTTGGCTGTTCTACTTTTGAAGAATATATGGTTAAATATGCTGAAAATTATTGTGATGTAATGATTAAAATGAAAGGTTGCATTATATATCCTAAAGGATACTCATCCTTTAGATCTTCTATTCCATAATAGAAAATGTAACTTGGAATTCATCATTAAAAATCTTAATCAACAACACTTCCAAGTTATGCTTAATAATTAAGTAATAGTAGTAGCCAAATTATTAAAGCTGATAGTAATTTTCAATTATAATTTAGGCTTTTTAGCAGGTATGTAAAATCCTAGCCAAATGATTGGAGATGTACAATCTCAATCCTTGACATTTCAATCATTTCAAACTTATCCTTAAAATAAAGATTTTTTTATGATTTAAGAAGAAAATAGCCACCATGAACTTGATGCTAATGTCAGATTTATTGAAGAACTATTAAAAGAGTCAGATGACGTTGAATAACTGAAATAAAAAGTTTAGAGAAGTCACTAAACTCATTAAGATAGCAAATAGTTTTAGAGTTTAGGATAATGGCCAACTTTGAATTCTAATGAGAAAAGATGCCATAATAAATATAATACTTATTAATATAGTCCTTAATAAGATTTTTACTAAGGATAAAAAGTATCATTAGATCTTCACAGTTGGGATCAAGATAACTGATAATGTATTATAGAAATAAAATTTAATTCCTACTATTATTAATATTATTTAAAAAAAATCTAATTTATGTATGCAAGAGAAATCTACAAAGAAGTGGTCTAGACTTTTACAGCAAATTTCATATCAAAATAACCAGTTAATGTTAGATGATAATAAAATCTTTCAATAATATTAAACTCACATTTACACTAAACTAGTTCCAAAAGGTTCATCTCTTACCTTATTAGGGAACTCTTTTGCAAGATAAGTGTACTTAAGAATAAAATCTAAAAAAAGGTCTAGGAATATTATTGATGCTGTTTCATTGCGAAAATCTATAAAGATCAATTTATTTTTGACTTTCTAAGAGATTTATTAACAATATGGAGGACAATTTTTAGATAAGATCTAATTTCTAAATGTTATTTATAAGATCTAAGAATAGTTATTATAGATTTAAATTAATCCTTAAAAGTTATGTCTAGAAATGCCTTATTTAATGGAGTTAATCTTGCTTTACAACTAAAAGGATTAGTTTAAATTCTTGTTTATTGCTAGAAACAGTTATGAATGGTATAAACTTTATAATAATTCCATAGTAACATATATTTCTTTATTAAATAACATTAAATCTTACAATTATTTATTTTTGAGTAGTTTACATTAAAGTAATGAATGCAATAGTTTTGAAAACATTCAAATAAGATAAGATTGATTAAAGTTAATATATAACAACTTAAATTTAATTATTATGAATGGGTAACATACAAAAAACTATATCTTTATTACTTTTCATGATATTTATGTAGTAAGTTCTTATTATATTGGAAATGCTAATTTTATTTGAGATAGAGTTCACCATTTATATTATTTTCTTGAGCTATAAACTACTTTTGGATTTATTTATTTATCAAAATTAGAAATTTTCAATTTGACAATATAAAAAAATTGTAATCAATTGATAAATATAAAATAAAGAATTATAAAAATAATTACGACTATTAATTAAGTAAATGGGGGCTTAGGATGATCATTTGGAACTTCAAAAATCATACCACCATGTTTAAAAGGTGCCAATTTATTGAGATTTTATTCTGCCAATTTTAGCCTTTTTAAGACTGACTAAGATATTATTTGATGTTTTTGATGATTTGATATTTACAGCATTGATGGTAAACAATAAGATAATTTTAATAAGTTTTTTGGATCAGATTCTTACAAGTATTCAAACAAACTTAGATATAAATAATGTATACCAACATTGATGTAATTTTTGATAAACCTCTTATTCAATAGAATCTAAATTATAATGTTTATTAAAGATTTTTTCTATAGTAATTTTAATTCTATGTTTGATTTCATTCATCTCAATTAAATCATCTTCAGATATCAAAGTATCTTCAATTACTACTTTTCCTTGGCAAACAGGAAGTATTATTTCCTTTTTTTCTTTGTTTCCAAATTGATCAGTGCTATCAATAATAAATCCTTGAAGTGTTGTTTATAAATTTTGTACTTTTTCCTGAATAAATGCGTATATGAATATATTATTATTCATAATTGAAACTCGATCAATTCTAGCCTTAAATTATGCTTTTTAAATTTCATTTTACAAATAAACTTCTGCATTATTGAAACAATCAAAATAATCATTGCATGTTAAATTGCTATCAGGAATTTTTAATATTTATAGTTTCAAAAATGAGTAAGGAAATAGATCTACCTTTGTTTTGAGAAGTATATGATTAGTTGAATCAACTTATTATTATTTTGATTCAACTTATTCTGGACATCGATTTGAGTTTCTTATTATTGTATGAATTATAATGTTCACTTTAAAAATACTAGGGGATGTTTAAATGTAAGATCTAATTTGTAAAATAGTACTACAACCTGCATAATGGACATCGAGGCATTGTACATAATGATTTATACATACAATCAAAACAATATGTATGTCCACATGTTAGTGTAACTGGCTGACTAAATTATTGACAACAAATTGAGCATCGTAATAATTTATCAATCATATACTAATCATACATTGGCTATTCTAATAATATTATACAAATTTTGATAATTTAGTTTTATTATATATCATATTGTGAAAAATAAATCGGTATGATATAAAATATTAATAAAATTTGTCTTGCTTATTTATATTCAATATATCTTTGTTTTTGTAAATAATATATTTTGTTGTTAAATAGAATGATTTCTCTTAAATTTATATAAAAATTAATGCTTTATTAAATTAATTAAAATGTTTAGCTTTAAGCCTGTGAAATGGTTTTCATCTCTTCTATTATCAAAGGTAATAAAAATAAAGTAATTTTTTTTAGTTTCTCAAACCTTATATAAAAAATTTTGAATCCCAGAATATAGATGTTTAAATTTTAGATGGAGAAGTATGTTTGAAATAATTAGAATTGAGAAATGATATATTGATGCAGTTTGGTATTGATATAGAAGTGATTGATTCATCTTTTGGAGAAGTTAAATTGATAATTCCATGGAACAATTTAAAATCAAAAGAAATAAGTGTAGAAATAACAAATGCAAAAATTGTTCTATCTAATAAAATTGAGATGAGTGATTTTAATAAAGAGTAATACAAAGACCATTTAGAAAAACTTAAAAGAGAAGTATTGGCCAAATTTGATGAAACTGTTTAAAAAGAAGATGCATTTTCAAATGGCTCCTCAGGAAATAATTTTTTTGCTGAATTTGCAATGAAAATATTTGAAAAGTTTGTTTTGAAAATAAACAATTTAGACATAGTTTTCATTTATTAAATCAATAACTATGAAATTGTAAAGTTTGGATTTGGGTTTTAAACTTTAATTATAAATCAAGATGATATTAAACCTAAAAAAGATGAAATTCGAAAAAAGATTGTTGCAGATAACATCTTTTTACTTTTTGAAGTATTTGATAATGTTCTCCCATCTCAATTACAACCTGAATCCTTTATTCGAGATTAAAATTAATCAAAATAAGAGGAAAAGAAGGCTGTTCATATCCTTAAGAAATTAGCTCTGAAAATAGAGTTTAGTTTAGTCTTTTCTGAATAAATGGAAATAGAATTAAAAATTGCTACAATTTCTGATGTTCTTATTTACTTAAAATAAAGATAAATTAGATTATTGTTAAGGGCAATGTAAGATATAGTTAATCATCGAAATGATAGACCAAAAGAAAAACCAAAATATGGAAAAACTGCCAAAAATTGGTGGATCTATATAATAAGAAGAGTAATTGAAAAAGAATATATAAAAACAAAAGTAAGGAAATAAGGAATAACTAATTACTTTAAAGTCTAATAATATATAGAATTATATACAAAGAAAATGTTAAAATAACATGATATAAAGAGAGATAATAAATTAATGGGAGATTTTGAATAAAAAAACACTATATCATAAATTTTAATATTAAGAAGCATTGCAATTGATAAAATATTAGAGATGAGAAATATATTAAGATCTAATAACCCAAGAGATCAAAAAATTTAAAAAGAAGCTTAAGGATGGTTTAAGACATTTTAAAATGATTTTAATATGGAGCATGCTAGTAATTTAAAATTTAGTAGGAATGTTATTGATTCATATTTATCTTTTATGAAAGAAAAAGAAAGTAATACAAGAATATCTATTATCTTGGATGTTAAAAAGATTAATTTATTAATATAAGAGAATTAAATTTTATAATAATTAAGAAATCTGCATTAGTAAGTTAATATATTTAAATAAGAATTAAATTAGAAAAAGTCTCTTTAGACAAAGGTTTTAGATCATATTAAAAATAATTTTTTGTAAAAAATAACTAAAGTAACTGTAAAATCATCTGAAATAGATAAATAAGAAGATTGGAAATTAGATGAATTATTAAAAGAGAAAATATTAATAAATTTAGAAATTACTGAAACAAAATTAGAATTAGTAAAATAAGGTTAATTTAAATAATTAATGAAGGCATAAATTCAAAAATTGATTTTATTAGATACTAATAAATTCAATAGCCATTATTTAAAAATTGTAGAAATATCTGAAGGAATTAAAGTATTAATGAGTTCAGAATAATTGGAAAGATAAAAAAAAATCCTTGATTTAGATCCATTAGAAAAAACAATCTAAGTTTATTTAGATATCCAAGTGGGTCCACTTAGTATCACACTTTGTAAGCCTCTATATGAAAGATTAATATCATTACAAAATTTAATATTTTTTGATAAATCCACTGTTTAGAATGATAATTAAGACCATTCAAAATATTTTGATAACTTTTTAATATTAACAAAACGAGTTTAATCAAATACAAATGTCTCTTTTTCAATTAGAAGAATAAATATTTACTTGCCACTTTAATATTAAATAAAAACATAGATGTTATTAATACATTTGAAATAAATCAAAATATTTAAAAGAGAACATGAAAATAGTGTTGTTAATATTTATCAAGCAGAAAATTCTAATGGATAAGTTAGTTAATATCTAAAGGATTTAAAAACAAGATAAACAGTTAATAGAGTTGCTAAATAAAATCAAAATTAAGAGGAAAATTAAAATTTAAAACCTGTTTATTTTTCTGTTGATTGTTTAAGATTAGCATTTGTTTAAGATTATGATTGGGAGAATAAGGAAAATATTTTTAAAATATAATATAGGAAATTAAGAAAAAATGAATAATAAAATGGAGATCCTGGAATTGAAACAATTATTGAGACTCTTCCAATAAAAATTAGAATGGAATAATCATAAAAAATGATAACATTAGAATCTAATAGAACAAAAAGTAAAAGTAAAATGACATTCAAGAAAAAAATATATCCAAAAACATCAATGATAACTATTTAATTACCATTTTTAGATTTCAAATTATCAACAAAACATTTATATTTAATTTTGTAATTAGTATCAATTTGGTAAACTAAAGGATATGATTTTTATGATGTAATTGAAAGCAAAGTTTAAAAATAGGAACATAAACAATAACAATAATATATAAATGAGGATTGTTAAGAATAATTGAAAGATTATATGATTAGTTAATTATAAATTGATATGGAAGGACTTTAATTATCAGTTACTGTAAATACATAAGAATTTTTAGAAAAATTGGGCATGAGAAGTTGCCATGAAAATCGTCTATTTTCATTTTACTTTTTAAATTTGAATTATTTAAAGGAACTTAAATTTTATGATAGCATTCAACATTTAGCTATTTAGGAATTAGCCTTATAAAATATTAACTGCCATTCTTATCAAATACTTGTACCATTGAAGGTATTGGCTAAACAATTACTTAAGTATTCTGATTGTGAAAAAGAATAAAGGAAATCAAGTTTTGGAGAAGATTTAGAAAGAGTGATGAATTAATAATCAGAAATAGAATAAGTAGGAAATTCAAAATTAAATGAAAATAAATCAAACATAAAAAATTCTAATAATGAGATATAAAATCCATAATAATAAAATATTGATAATGATAAAGAATTGAAAGGCAATGAAATTCCTCCAGATGAATTATAAGAAGATGTAATTCCATAAACAATATTTTCTTAAAAGAAGGGTGATTAATTTTAAATTCCTTCTCCACAACATTCGTTTTTAGATAATAAATATTAAGAAGCTTTTGAAAGTGAATTATACATAAAGGAATATTTTACAGATAAAGAATGTTTAAAATGTAAAGAGAAACATAGATTATTATTAACTTTTATGAAAGTATAGGATGATTTGGGTCCTGATGTTTATTTTTTATAGACAAGTGATTCATAGAGATCAAGAGTATCAGTAAATTTAAAATAATTAAATCTTATATTGGATCCAGATATAATTACAAAAATGAGACAGATATTTGATATTGGTAATTTGGCAGCAGAAGTAAAAAAATAATAATTTACAAAATGGATGAGAGAAAATGGATTTTGGCCTGATTTTAATGAAGTTGATCAAAAATAATAATAAGAAGCATAAACTTAGACTACAATAACAAGTGATTTATTTTAGGAAACAAATAGAATAGAGCTAGAAATTAATTAAATTGTGTTAATGTTAAATTATAAAGATTAAGTGGTTTATTTAATGAATATGAAATTTATAGATACATAAATATCAAGTAGTAAGTTATTTAAAAATATTAATATAAAGATGCAATAAGTAAAATTATTTGATACTGCTGTTATTAGTGGGATCCATAGAACTATGTTAGAGGATTATGATGATTAAAATGAAAATCAGGTGTAATGCTAAATTTAAATCTGCAATAATTCAGATTTAATAAAAATTAGAAAATATGCTACATATTGTGGTGTAAGAATATAAAGAGCTAAAATTGTGTTTTTGAAAAGAAATACAAATGAAATTTAATATTATTTAAGAAAAGTGCTCATTAAATCATTTTCAAGTACACTTACAAATTAAGACAGAAATGAATTGTTGAAGGAAACAGAGACCTAAAATTTAAGCTTTGAAACTTAACCTAAAGATGTAGAAGTTGATTCTGAATTTGGATTTCGATTTTCTTTAGTTGCTTTAGACTCTTTAGGAATTGGATATAGAAGTTCTTTATCTAATGAAGCATTATACATCCAATTTAAAAAAGTTGGTTATTGGTTTAGTGGAATTTGGGGTTAGAAATATGATAACTTAATTAAAACAGGATTATTTGATGATGAAATTGAGGAACAATAAAATATTAGTGAAAATTTTGTAGAAGCTAAATATTCTCAAGAGCCAGCAATGGCAGAAGAAACAATTTTTGAAGAAATAAATAATAATTAATAATAGGATGAGGAAAATATAGATTAAAGAATTAGATAGATTGTATATGTTTGGGGTTTAGAAATTCGATGTTGTCCTGGAACAGATGTTAATGATTTGTTTGTTAAGGCTCCAGAAGATAAAGTTTCATTGTAATTATTTATAGACTTTTGTGATGAAACACCAGATAAATTATTTTGTGAATAGCGTGTGAAGCCTATGAGAAGTATAATTTTTATTTATATTATAGTTACAATTGATATTTAAAAGTTAAATATATA